GAATATGTATCGAAGACCTGCAGACGGATGAAACTAGGGCAGAATGGAAAGAATATGCTCGACCCCCTTTCTACAAACATGGCGGCTCAGTAAGCGCAGACAAGGGGCATTTACAGTCTCCAACAACCGTCAGCGACGGCGCCTTCAATACGGCCACATGCAACGCTTTTACCCACCTCTTCATCCCGGAGGAAGAGGTGATTACAGGCCTCAGGATGTGCTCTCGCAACCCCAATACCTGATACCGGGCGTCACACGATTGTGCCAATGTTAACTGGAGCATCGTAAAAACCACCAAGCTTGAGGAAATGATTTCCGCACTGCGTGCAATGGGTGCAGCCGCACCCGGGGTAAAGCGCGTCGCACGGAAGGAAATCAGTAAATTGTTTATTAGCCTGTTCCCCTTACCCTACTCAAATGAACGTGGCCCATGTAACGTTTGTTCCCACAATTACTAAAGCTTCCCACTCTGGATAAGACTCACCAAATTTCCGTAGCTTCAGTCTTTACTCGTTGAATTTTATTCGTTCGCTGGGTACCTACTTTCGCATCTGATCGCCTTTAATTTGGAATCCTTCGTAAGGAGGGCTGCTTCGAAGTCCCCACAATATTACACTCCGACCTGAGATATTCACATCGGCATCGATTTATCCATTGATTCTCTAGACACTTCAAAAGCCTTTGAATCAACGCTGATTTGCGCAGCCTCCTCTTTCCGTGTTCCCACTCATTTTCCACATTACTTAAAGTCTTAGTAGCCGCCGGAATCCCAAGCGTTAAACGTCTGCAGATTCATCCAGGGCGTGGAGTCCGTCAGCGAAATCCCTCGAAATGGGCACTCAAGGAGTGAAAGCTGATGTGCACTGCCATTATCACTTTATTCATCATTATTAGGCAATTTTCCATTCTTATGTTAGCAGGAAATAGAAAGAGCTTAATTCTAGAGCCCATGCAAATAAAGTAGTGTTGGACATGCATCAACCGTAAAAATGGCCAATGAGTGACGCTCGCTTCCACGCTGTACTCAAATAAGGTTGAATAATGTAATCTGACTTAGGCTGAGTAAATGAATGTAATTGCAAAGACAGAATTGACAAGGCGTACATGGAAAGTTCATTAGTGATCACATCCATTAATATACACCGATCGCCTTCAAAGTGCACAAAACTATCGAAGGAACATCAGCTCTTTGAACTCTGATGACGAGGAAATGCAGCTATCAGGAGTAGTGTCAATTTTTGCTCTTGGGTCTACGTGCGTGACAAGTTGCAGAATTAGAAATGTGAGAAATACTTTCATAGATATAGGAAGATGGTTTATCTGCTGGTGATTGTCAGAAAGATTGTACTTTTGCCACCTAAGCTGAGTTGGTCGAACAGAACTGTTACGATTGTAGTGAAATTGCTGTTTTTACTCTGGCTAACTCACAAACTCGATCCCACACTAACGTGCGAGCCTCTTAGTACAACAGCGCCTCAGGTTACGATTGTCAGAACTTCCAGAGATAAGTTGTTGAGTAAGCTCCTAGACTGCGAATATTTTCTGGGAAATAGATGGAAAGTCACATAGTCGTACCGCACGACTCAATCAGGCAATGAAATCGTGCAACGATTCGCCTATTTCATGATCATTCTGCAGAAAAAGTACCGTGTAGTAAACAATGCATTTGCTAACTCCACGTACGATCGAGAGCGATGAACACGTTATTAAGGGATTTGCATCCTTGAATGCCCAGTCATTGAACTAGAGCTGACCCTCGTTCCCGAGTAAATATCGCTTAAATGCGTTATCCTCACTAAGAGCAGAATGGTGATCACTGATTAAGTTCAAGTAGTCATAAAATGTTACGAACTGTATAGAAAAAGCTCGAGGTGCTTTTGCCAAATGCCGCCACCTGTGATGCCGGCGTGACATCACTCTCGCTCTGAAGGACAGAGCTTATAATGCAGCCGCTCGTTCAGCCAACTTACACGGTTGTGAAACCTGGCCCATCAGATCGACAGACATAAAGAGGCTAACTACGTTCGACTATTGCAGCCTTCGTAGCTTAGCTCATGTCTGGTGGGAACCCCGCGTGAGCAATGAACGTGTTCGGCGTCGCGTATTTGATGCAGGAATAGCGAGTGAAGCACCAGGTTCTGATGGCTGGGCCACGTGTTGCGCATGCTAGCACACTGACGCCCGCGACTGCATTGTTTGCGCGCCCGGAGTCTGGATGGAAGAGGGGAGGCCAAGCAATTACTCGGTCAAGAGGAATAAAGGCCCTCACATCGAAGTTGGCGTCGGTTGGTGTATCTCATCTGTCTGGCTGGGGTCCGAAGGAGGATGAACACGTTTGACTGGACACGTTGATATGGTGAAGAGCCGGCCCCAGTGGCGTTCGTGTTGTGAGTTTCTTCGTTCATCCCTCTCTCCTTTAAATTCCCCCTCCAATTACGATCTTATCTCTAATATGGGATATATTTGACATTATATTACACACTATGTGAAGATTTTGAACTGTGGTCGTTTTGTATTGCGGCACACTAGTTGAGGTGTGTTTCTCACTCTCAGCTAACGTGTATTGATGATGATGATGACGATGATGAAGTAGTTCCAAAAGGATGTCTTTCAACCGAGCCTGGCATCCGATGTTAGTCTGCCACCGCAATCAGAAATTGGGCTCACGACGCCAAATGTTATATCAAAAAAGGCAGTTAAAGTAGGATGTACATCGGTACGCAAGCAGCAATCATAACCAGAACAGTCTGTATCGGTCAATCATTCCGGTATTTAACACAAGCCGAAGAGAGTAAGCGTACATTAACCAGCCAATGAAAAGCGAGTCTAGCGAGTCGAGTTCGGCCGGCCACGAGTTGGTTCTCGGAGGAAGGGCAGTAACGAGTGCCGTTACTTTGCACGCCGTTCGTAGAGCACTTTCGTCTTCGTTTTTGTTCCATCGCTTGAGCATGTTTAGTTCTGGTGGCACATTCGTGCAGCTGTGATAGTGTTGCAAAATCTTCAGTCTTATGAAATCATGCTAGTCGTTTTCGCGCCTTTAGTTTGAGCAAGAGTTCAAATGCATTCCTACAGCCACAAGCGATAAATTTCGTCGAATACGATTGGTTAGAGCATGATGAATGTTAGTATAGAATTGTGCTATTGCTAAGTAAACTTTGGTGAACAGGAAAAATACTTCCCAGTCGGGACATCGGATCAAATATTGGAAGTGTGTCCAATGAATTCTCTAAATGGAGTATTGTGAGAGAGGGCCCAGGTTGGTGTTTGTTCTGATACTGAAGATAAATTGTAATATTTGGTAGTCAATACTAGGAATACTGTCCAGCAGACCTAGTAGGTTTGGTAACCCATTGAGTTTGTCTTCCAGGAAGTCAGTATCTAATAATGTGGTGATAAATATATGTACGGGAAGACTGAAGTCTCCAGCTATTGCTTCCTGTTGAACTGATACAAAATGCAGTGCGGAACTGACAGTAGCAATATTCCCGGTTGCAGCAATCGGAAGGTTGCAGATGTAGTTGAGATGTAATGGGAAACAGTAGCAACAGTTAACTACGGGGATTCAGAGACGTTCTCTAGTTCCTAATGGTCAACGGGCACAACTACAAATGCTAAGTGTAGATAATACATCCACTTCCACTACTAGTGAAGCGTCGCATAGGAAACAGATGGCAATTCGGGATCGTAAGAGTTGTGTCAAATGTGCTAGTAGAGTACCATGTTTGGGTGATAAAGAATGCAATTGGAATATCCAACGGTGCAACTAGGCATAGGAAGTGAAAGATTGTGTGTAGACGTTGCATTACCAAGAGGCAGAAAGGTTATGTTGTAGGGTTTTCATTGAACACGTTATATAATGTAGATGTTATAGGGGCAATATTTCAGGTATGAAAGTATAGAGTTGGAGAGAATAGATCTTAGCGTGGTGCGATGGTGTGCGTACCTCCGTGACCCATTCAACTATGCTGGGTGGTATCTCAGTCACTCATACCATCCAATTCAATGGTTAGGAGTTAGACTAACGCGGTCTCGCGGTCCAATAATCTTCGGAGGTTGGGGAGAGATAATGGCCATCTGCCATGGGAGACAACGGGTCTACGGGTTATACGCTCACAGCTCGATTGGCGTAGAGCACAAGCGTAACACATTATCTCTGACGGTGGGAGAGCCTCTTCTGGTGCTCAGTGATTTGCTATCGCCCGTCCGATGGCTGGGCTACGTGTTGGGCATGTCAGCGCATTGGAACCCGTGTCGCGCACTGTTTGCGCGCCGAGTGTGGATGGAAGAAGAGGGAGACCAAATAATGACTTGATCAAGAGGAATGAAGATCCTCATTTCATACTTGTCATCGGTTGGTGTCGCCCGACTGCCGGGCAAGTCGCAAGTTGCCGACACTTGTTGACACGGCGAAAAAAGAATCTCAATGGCGTTAGAGTTGTTTTTTAGTCCCTCCTCCACGCCGCTTATCTTCCTCTCAAACGACGATCTCACACAGGGTGTGTAATATGATATTACGCATCTTATTACCTGCTTGTTAGGTTTTATGTTCTATTGTGTAGCGTTTTGTATCTCGTCCATCCAGACATCTTATAGTTTTGTGTTGGGGCAAAAGAGCTGAAGTATATTTCTCACCTTCAGCTAAGATGTAATTATGATGACAATAAATGAAGAGCCTACAGTAAGTTCTCATGTTTGAGTGCAATGTGCAGTGTCACAAGCAGTGGCCAATAGTGAACAGAATGATATTCGTGGCCAAAAGTGTCCTGACAAATCACAGCAGTGTACCAAAGCCTAAACATGAGTGATTAGAGTTCAGTACAAAGTATGCTATATATAGGCGCAGTCACAGTCGAGAGCTGTTGGTGTAGGACAAAGCGCCACTACAGTAAATAAAGTCACGGACGATCAAGATTATCGCAAAATCCTCTGACCTTCCCACCCAAGGAAATGGTATGGAGAATGGTAAGGGTATGACAGCGCCAAGGAATATTTGTACTTACCTGATAGACATAGGAATGAACTGTTTCAGTTGGGATAAGCGAGGAAAATTAAAAGGCCTACAATGCACTTCGGGATGATTGTCAAACCGAGCTTTCCAGCCATATTTCGAAATAACACCCATGTTCTCAAGAAAATCGATGGCGCTTCCTGGGGTCTCGATGAACATGGCGACATAAACAAGACTTCAAGTAACCACAGTCAACAACAGCACCTAAAGAATGAGGAAAAACGCGGATTGTCTGAAAGCACATACAGCAAACGGAGCCGATAATACAAGAACACAGGTATAATGTATTTAAAACTGCCTGAGGACAAGCACCTAGGGCGAGACAGCAAAGTGAATATGGTTTTAATATAAAATAATCACGTTTGAATTTTTATGAATCGGAAGGCATTGATGAAGCGGTCCAGGCACATTTTTAGAAGAACTGTACTTTTATTTCGCAATCAATATTGTGATTAGACAACAGCAAGCAGTACATAGCTTACACTTCGTATTTCCTGAAACACTGATTTAAGAAAAGCAGTTCAGTTGAAGAACTACAAACCGAACATCGAAGTGCAGTGGACCTGGTTGCCGCGACTCAGATCAACAGATTAACAACAAATACCCATGGTAATAAAAGCAGGCTGAACGCAAGGAAAATGGGATCAAAAACGCGTTAAAAGAATCGGTATGCAGTATTTTTTTCTAAATAATAATATACACTCGGTTTCACGAGACGCGCTTTGCGTAATGATCAGGATTGCACACTCATTTTAACCACAGAAGTGTATTAAAATAGTGCAAGGATTGCAGCAGAAGGAAACGAAACAATCAAAGGTTCAATAAAAATAATAAGACCATTCGTTCAAATCCAAGTGAGACTGGAACGATAGGATTAGCCCGTGAGTGTTCCTTCTTCGGAGGACCCTTGAACAAGGAGTTGACGAAAGATTTGGAAATACAGACGGACCTAAAACAAAGACCATATCACACCGTGTCCAAGCAATTATTGCGCACGTATCCTGCTCTAGCAGTCCCTGCTGGGCCAGTTACGTGAAGTAAGAGAGAGAGCAGTAAACCCGAAAGCAAGAAGAGAAAGAGGATACAGGTGAATAAGTAGAATATTAATATATTTGGGTCATTAAAAAAGAACTAAAATCCGAAGATGAGTCAGTTAAGAAAAAGAAATGGCTTGGTGTTGACACACAAGAACATCGAGCTGACGCGCAAAACCCTTGAGGGTAAGTTCCCTAACCACATGATCTGAAAGCGATTTCCATCGCTTTATAGCCAGGCGCGAGAGAGGAGTTTCCGTACTAATTCAATCAGACTGGGGTTTATGCAGCTACAATGTGTGACCTGTGGCCTTGTATACCCCGCCTTTCACACGGAGGGAAACTCGCTTCTGTCGCCAAAGATGACACAAGTTCAAGAAGGTACCTCTGCCTTTTGCAATGCGTGAGCTGACGTCAATTTCTGTGCGCCCATCATTGCTGATGCAGCTGCCAAGATAAGTGAAATGATCAACCACCTCGAGTTCCTCGTTAGCAAGCGTCAAGGGGTCGTCAAGTGGCTGGTGGTCCTGCAACAACATTTTGCACTTTGAAGATGCGAAGTGCATACCAAATAATGGGACCACTCTGGACAGGCTATTCAGGGTTGATTGTGCCGCTTCAACATTGTCGAAAAGCAAGACGATATCGTCCGCATAATCTAGATCAACATACTTTTCACCAGGCGGCACTTCAACGCCTACATCGAGATATCCAGCAAAGGAACACTCCATGATAGAATCCACGACGAAATTGAACAAAAATGGGGAAATCGGACAACCCAGACGAACGCCACTTGTGGTCGGAAAACTATCCGACAGAACACCGAGTACCGTGACGCGGCCTGTAGTGTTGGAGTATAGAGCACGAAGGATGTTCACATATTTCGTGGGAACACCTTTCCGCGCAAGTATTTCGTACAGAATCGATCGATCGACTGAATCGAACGCACTCTTGAAATCGAGGAACACAACTACTGTCGACCTGCGGTATGCGTGGCGCTCCTCTAGCACTTGCCGCAAAGTAAATATATGGTCTATACAGCCACGTTCTGGGCGGAAACCGGCCTGCTCTTCCCTAATCCGAGATCCCCGTTCCGCAGTGAAGCGATAAACGAGAATGGAAGTCAGTAATTTTATCACAACGGGCGTTAGGCTAATACCCCTATGGTTAGAACAGTCTGCGCGACTGCCCTTCTTGTATGTTGCCACTATAATCAATTCGCTCCAATTAGCCGGCACACTCTTCGTTCCAGATACGTTCGAATAAGGAGGTCAGCAATTTGCAGAGGACCACACCTCCATCTTTAAATAGTGCAGGTGGGAGGGAATCCGGGCCAGCGGCACGAAAATGATTAAGGGCTGTGATCGCGTTTCGGACCTCGGCCTCCGACGAGGCTCTAAACTAACCGTTCATGGCTCGTCGTGCATCACCTGAGTAGGAAGAAGTCCGGGAGCAGGGGGCCAGCTGAACTGATGTTCAAAGTGTTCAGCCCAACAAGCCATACGGCGCTCCTTACTGTGGATTAGCGCACCCGCGCTGTCTCTGATCGTCTCACTGACGCCTGGTTTTCTGGGACCAGTGGTGCGAATTAGCTGGAAGAGCTTGCGGTAATTGCCTACTGTTACTGCCTCCTCCATCTCTTGAGCCCGACTGGTCCACCAGGCTTCCTTGTCAGCACGCAGGCTCTGCTTTAGTTCACGTTTATAGCCCGTCTGGTCACATTGTGTTCAGAGCCAGCCGGGAGGTGTCTTCTAGCTTCCAACAGGTTCACCGACCTCTCGGATATCCAGTGACTGGTGCGGTGACGACTGATAGTGCCACAAACAGATGCTCCTGCTTCGTGCATAGCGGCCGAGATCCTATTCCACTGAAGTTCAGTGTCATTAGGACAAGACAGCGGAAGCTCGGTATGCAGTGCTTCTTGATAGGTTTGCCTAACCGAGGACTGAGACAATTTCTCAACTGCCAATCGTTGGGGATGCTTGGTGCACCTCCAGGTAAAGTTCATGGAGAAACGACAGCGCACCAAGGCATGATTAGAGTCGACACAGGTACTCCAGTACGAGCGACAATCCAGAATGGAACAACGCCACCTGTAACTTATGGCTAGGTGGTCAATTTGGGTCCATCGCTGGCCAGCTACAGGTGGACGCCAAGTGGCACTTCGGCGCCCACTGTGTCTAAATGCAGTGCTAGTAAGAAACAACCGGGGCTCCGCACACAGTCGCAGCAGACCCTCGCCGTTGTCAGTCCGTTCGGAGTTAAGCCCACAATTAGCACCCAGCTGAGCTTATGAAGAGCTCAGACGCCCTACTTGTGTGTTCATATCCCCTGCAAGTACTATAATATCTGAACTAATAGCACTGCATAGTAACCCGTTCAGTTCGTGATAGAATGTACCCTTGACAGCATTAAAACTGCAGTCGGTGGGAGCATAAGCAGAAATCACAAACAAACAGCGTTTCTTACTGCTTCGTGAACCAACCTTAGCTGATGTCGTCAAACGGGCTGCACATAAACGGCTGTTCACCGGAATCCAACCAACAAACGATGACTCAGCCATGGAGCTGAGAATGATACCTACACCAGCTTGACCCGTGAGTGCTGCATCGGCGTCTCCGGATGCGTGCAACCCGTAACGAGAGGATAAGCCGGGTGCAGTCAATTCAATAACCCCGTTAGGGTCATTACTCCTAGTTTCGGACACACAACACACATCAATACCCAGTGTGTCCAAGGTGCGTGCGAGCGCAGCCTGTTGACCTGTTTGTCTTAGAGTGCAAACGTTGAACGTCGTCATGGAAACGGGACAGCGTGACCTTATAAGGGACTTTTGCCGATAGGCGTCCGATAGGTGCTGTGGGATGGTGGCTGCAGATGGTACTACTCCAGTGGCACTTCGCTTGCTGTCAATTAAGCTGGGAATTATAGAAGGAAGGTTAGTAGTAGGGGCCGGGATGGGAGTAAGAGAAAAAGGTGGAAAAGAAAGAAGGGAGGCGCCAGCAGTAGCATGTTTTCGCTTATCCGCCCTGCTGTATGCAGCAGATAAGGCGACCCTTGATAATCTGCGCGACGGCCAATGCAGGATGAAGTTTATGTTTGAAAAAAATGTCATGGTTGTATGTGGGCTGAGATACTGCCAGGGCGCCCAGACCTAGACAGGAGGACGATTAGGGTCCTCATCCAAAGCCTTTGGCTCAAACGCCTGTCCGCAAGGCAGCGGGGAGGTGGCAATGATTTAGTTTTACAGAAATGGACACCATCCCATTTCAAACACCCAAACTGGAGGACCAGGAGACTGAGTTTGTCTGACCTCTCACCATTGACCAACCTGGTAGGAGTAGCTATTAAGGTGCCCGGAGGCATCACCCAGCATAGCTCAATGGGTCAATGAGGTACGCAAACCGTCGCACCACGTTAAGGTCCAGTCTCGTTGCGACGGTACAAGTGCATGGTCGGTGTCCACACCTGTGCTCCAAATCGAGCGACAGTCCTGGACGCAACGTCTCCATCGGTAAGTTATCGCAATGTTATCTATTTACGTCCATAGCTGGTTCGAAGCTGGTGGGCACCAAATCATCCTCCGGTAGGTGCTGTGTCGGAAATCACTGCTCGCAAAATATAAGCTAGCATGTACACACAAATTTAGCAACCGCTCATTGTTATCAATACGGGTGCCTACACCATGTTGGCCGCCCAGATGCAAATCCATAGTGGATAAGTTTCCAACTTGAGCGTTCAGATCCCCAGCCAGCATTACTGTGTCCCAGCTTCTTCTGTGGCGAAAGAGCTCGTTCAATTGGCGATAGAGGTCGTCTTTTACCGAATCATCGCTAGAGTTTGTGGGTGCATAGGCAGCGATGATGAACAGACACCTGTTAGTCCAGCGAGGATTCGCAGCTTTGAACGAGCCAGCTAATCGGACCGCACACAACGGGCTACTGATCGGAATCCAGGCAACCAGAGCAGTTTCAGCCAGGTACTCATGGTGATACCAACACCGGCTTGGTCGGTGCTCGAAGCTACATCGTCACGGGATATGCGCAATGAGAAAGTGCTGCTAGTGTCACCTGAAGGGGATCGCAAAGTGAGCTCGAGTCCTGCTGGCGGGTCTCCGATAAGCAG